TTAAAGATGAGTCTGCGAAAGGAATTCGGAACAAATGGACGAGGAATGTCCATTGATATGTCACAAAGAATATTACCATCAGAATATTGGCACGGTTTAAATTCCAGTTTCAAAGATGATGTATTGTTTTTGAGAAGGTCTTGTACCTCCGGATCATGCCGTTGAGCTTCCGAAAATTTTTTTAAATCCAAAAATGGAGATTTTGTTATGGAATCAATTTCGATTCTTGAAAGAGCGTCAGCAACGACATTTTTTTAACCTTGCACATGCCTAATATCAGTAGAGTACTGAGAAATAAAATCTAAATGGCGCAATTGTCGAGGTGAACATTTATGAGGGTTCTGTTTAAAAGCGTATATTAACGGTTTTTGATCCGTATAAATTATAAAATTTCTGCCCTCTAACATGTGTCGGAATTTCTTAATTTGCAGAATGAATTAGAAAATAATTCCCTATTCGTACGATTACCATTTCTGTTGACTTTTATTGAGTTTCATAGAGAAAAATGCTATAGGTTCCCATGTTTGTTGAGACAACTGCATAAGTGTGCCGCCGATTGCGACGTCTGAGGCATCTACCCAGATGCTTAGCTGGGCTCCGGGAATAGGGTGTCTCAAAAGGGTAGTTGAGCAATGGCATTTTTGCAGCAATAAAGGCTTGTTCAGCATTCTCGTTCCAATTTAATTGTGGGGATGAATCCTGAACACGAGAACGAGATTTCTTTTTATTAATATAGCCTTCTAACAATTTTATTAAAGGAGAAAGAATATGTGCTGCTTTAGGTATGAAACATCTATAAAAGTTAAACATGCCTAAAAATCGCGAAGCTGAGTGAGAGTGGTAGGTTGAGGAAAATCTAAAATACATTTGACTTTGTCAGGAAGAGGTTCAATTCCGTTTTCACTAAGGTGAAAACCTAAGAAATCAATAGATGTTTGACCAAAGGTGCATTTTGAAACATTTATGCAAAGTCCATATTCCTGAAGTTTGGAAAATAAAGCTTTCAAATGCCTGCAATGTTCCTCAGAATCTTTAGAGGCTATGAGCAAGTCATCGACAAAAGCGTAAACGCCTTCTAAATCCCGCGTGACTTCATCTATAAAACGTTGTTGAAAAATCGCAGATGCATTGCATAAGCCGAATTGCATACGGATACTTTCGAATAAACCGAATGGTGTGCATATGGCGGTTTTGTGGATGTCGGCTGGGTTAATTGGTATTTGATGGTATGCCTTAATCAGGTCGACATGACTAAAATTTTAGTACCGTGCAATGCAGCAGTAAAATCGGCTAAACAGGAATAGGGTATTTGTCTTTTATTGTTTGAGCGTTCAATGCTCGATAATCTCCTACAGGTCTCCATTGCAGACTTCCCTTTTTTGGAACCATGTGAAGTGGGGATGCATAATTGCTGCTCGAAGGTCTCAAATGCCCCAATTGCATCATAGTTTGAAATTCTTGTTTTGCTATTTTTAAGCGATCTGGAGCTAACCGACGAGGTTTTGCAACCACAGGTGGACCTTTAGTTATGATATAATGAACGGTGTTATGTTTAACAGGTTGGTTAGGATCTGGTAATCTAGTAACTGAAGGAAATTCTTTTAAAATTTTGTGATATGGTGTATCACTAAATACAGTTTTTACTGAATAAATGCTTGCCTTTTTTCACGCAACCGACGGTTTTTAAAATGCGTTTTTAAATCTTGAGACATTTGTTTCTGAGATCAGGCACCAATTCAAAGAAATGGAGAAAATCTGCTCCAAGAATGGGTTGTGTACTAACATTTGCTATAAGAAAAGTCCATGTAAACTGTCGTCTTAATTTGAAATCCAAAGAAAGTGTTTTTTGACCATAAACATGAATAGTAGAAGAATTAGCAGCGAAAAGTGTTTGTTGGGACGAATTCCGTTTTTGAGAATTATTTGCTGGAAGTAAGGACACGTCAGAGCCGGTATCGACCAAGAATGAAAGGTTTGTTCTACGGTCACGAACGAACAGGCGACGTGAAACTTGAGGCAAAGAATAAGTCGCCTCTATTCTTTGCTGGTTTCGTTTCCCTGCCATGAACAAGGTTTTGTACATTTGTCATCTCTACACTTTTTCCCAAAACGTCTATGATATTAGCAAACAGAATAATCTCTCCTTTTGGAATTGCTTCTTTCCTTATTGCGATCTCCGCGATTTGGCGAGCGACCACGAGAAAGAGAAATGCGATCAATACGTTTGTTTAATTTTTCTATTTGTTTAAATAATTTATCCTCAAGAGACTGATCGACTGTGCGAGAAACGGCACAAGTCCCTGGGGTTGGATTTACTTCTAAAATTCTGTCGGCAATTTCTGCAGCTTTATCTACAGTTAAATTGGAAACCGCTGCCAAAATAGACTGAACAGTCGAAGGCAAACGTTGAAGGAATAATTCTAACATTAAGTTATCAGGAACATTTAAAGATTCTGCTCGACGTTTCATATTTCTAAGCAAATCGGAAGGTTTTCGAGAACCTAATTCTTCTCCAGATAATAATTGGCGAATTTCTTGCTGAGAAGATTCTCCTGAACGATTTATTAACTCAGTTTTAAGCTTTGCATATGGATCAATAGGGTCTGGTTTCATAAGTAAATCCCGTACTAGTGATGCGATATCTGGAGGAAGATGAGAAACTACATAATTATATTTAGTAATGGATTCTGTGATAGGTTTGGGGGGGTGGCAAGAGCAAAAGTACTTTCACACATAATAAACCATAAAGATGGGTCTGATTCGGTTATAAACCGGAATTTGGACGGCATGAACATCAGACATTGTGCAAGGTTTTTAAGCCAAAAATAAAAGCAAAAATTTAACTAAAGAAAATGAAATTAAATGATAAGTAGAAAAACGAATTATAAAATGATCTATAATTAGCTACTCATCTGTGATTCGGAGGATGAAAAACCGGATGTAATCCATTACTTCTGGTTTGGAGATCTTGAGTGATGGCTTGTAGTCAAAACCGAAAGTGCTTGAGAACTGTTCATACGATTTAACACAGTCCGGGTTACCATTATAGGATTTCCAGTTATGTTTTTACCACCAATCCTCAAATTCCATATCACAGATTATGTTCGTACTGCATTAATATAAATATTAACAAGACATAGTGCACAATAAATATTAAGCTTTATTTCGGAACTTCGCGCACACTGCCCGACAGCCTGCCTGTTTCGCTCTGCTCGCTACTCGTAAGAAACTTCTCCTCTAGGGTTGCCACACTTATCGGAGGGCGCAAGGCGCGCTCCTTATCGCCATCACCACAGGCTGCTGCCTATTAAGTCTGTTCGATTAACTCCGACTCCACTAATTAGTAGAGTAACAAAGTCACTAAAACAAAAATAACGCTGAGATGAGGGGGACAATTAGCTTACTGGAAACGATCTGCTATATGTTGACAACTTATTCTCCTTAGTATAAAAGTGAATTTTTCAAAAATTACGTATACAAAAAAGATAATACATTTGTGCTTCAGTGCACTTTACAGTTCCAAAATTTCGGTTCTAAGTTTCCAGAAATTTTCGAATTAAAACAGAATCCCATCTTTGGACATAACTCTCTTGTTAATCAACGAGAAGAATGAATAAACAGAGTTCTACGGATTGGAAAACCTGTTTCATTAAGAATATATGTGTTCCATGGGCTTTACTTATAATAATTTTCTACGTTAGAATATTTCATATTTTCTGCGCATTATTTTATTATCCCGATTTCGATTAAATAATTTATGAATGGAGAAGGCATGTCTGTGAAATTGTCTGTCCTTTGATAGGAGGTAATGGTGGACGCCTATTAGGTGCCTCCAATAAAATGGCCACCACTTCTGGCCTTAGGAGTGGTCATTGCCGTCATAGGCAAGCGCTCGCCATTGGGTGGGGGGGGGGGTAGTATTCAGTATAATTTCTCAGTATTTGATAGTAGTGTCTCAGTCAGTTAACGCCATTAGCGTCAATTTTAAGAGTCATATTATGTTATTAATTCATAGCTTTAATAAATTTAAAGACTTTAAAAAAAAATATATATATAAAGGACGTGCAGTGCATTCTTTTGATATTAGCATAAGGAAAACTTTGTGAGGCTGATTGAGGATCGTTATCACACTCAAAATTAAAATAGCATACAAGCATATAATATGCATCATTTAAAGTATTATATAGACTTTTAGTGCTGCCAAATAATTCTTTATTGTGTTTAATTTTGAAATCAAGATCTGTATAAAAATCAGCACTTGAAATACGCAAGAAGTATAATGATGTAAAATTTTAAACAATATTTACTGAATTTGCAGTCTTTCTCTATTATGGTATAACTCCTTACAACAGGAATAAATACAGTATAAACAATTCTCAGCTCATGTCTTTTCGAAGTTCCAGACGAATATGAAATGCCATCTATCAGTCTTTATATTCGCCCATTCTCTGCTACTGAGTATAAGTTTCATTGATGCAAAATGTATTAACAGCAGATAATAATTGTGTCTTTAAGTAAATAATTATCTATGGTTTTTTAATCTTAAATATACCTTTTCCTGTCTCGTTCAGGTAAAAAATAATAAGATAAAAAACTCCCTCAAACTTTTTTGGTTCAGAGTTAAATTTAAATCTAAAACATGTTTAGATGTTTATTGAAATACCTATTTTAGGATTGGATTGGATTGGACAAAGAACTCGAAAACAAGCTTCCTTAGCTCCATTCTATGTTTGACCGACGAGCACTGAGAAATGGAAATCAGAAGTCGGAAATTCCCGTGCTATCAACTTCTCGAAGAAATCTTGGACTAGACAAATATCTTTAAAAATTTGAACTTTGGTAATTGAATTCAAAAACTCAATAAAAAATTTTCTTTTCTTTTTTCATTATTATTAATATCATCATCATCATCATATCTAGAGGTTTAGCCTCAAAACCATCACAATTGAGAAACTTGTTGTCTATGTTTCTCAACTCGAGTTAGTTGAAAGGGATAGGAATCATGAATCGGTCAGTGGTTGCGAAGTGAAATCTGCAATTTTCTTAAACTATGATTTTAGAGCATTAGCAATTTATTGAAAACACTACATTGTAAATATAAGATCTCCAGATGATCCGGTGATTCTGTGAGATTATGTTAAACATCGCGTAGTTTTAAGAAAACAAGGTATATGCCGGTCCTTATTTGTTTGATAGGTGGATTATTTTGCATAACTTGTGAATCGTAGCAGAATAAATGATTTTAAACTTATGTATCCATTGATAGATAATTTTATTGTTATGTAAAATTGAAATTTATGTAACTTTCCATGATAATACCAACTTTGCAAATTTTAATTTTAGGATCTGAAAGTAATAAAATTCATTTTCTTTTGAGCATCAGATTTTTAAATATTTTATTTGTCTACAAGATTGTTGATTGGTGTTTTATTGTATATCTTATTGTAAAGTGAAAAATAAGTAATATATATTTTTTTAGTTAAAAAGGATAAATATGTTTGTGGTGCAAAAGTAAGGTATCACAGTTTTTAAATTAATTGTAATTACGAAATTTGATGACTAAAAGATGAGTAAATCATGAATTGCTACACATATGCCTTCCTTCTAAATGCTCTTTAAAACGTTATCTCTAGGAATTTAAATTTTTAATTTTTATTTTATTTATTTTAATTTTTATTCTGAGCTGATTTTTAGATTGTTGCCAGAGGAGCTTAATTATTATCATCATCATCATTATTATTATTTTAAATACCGGTATTGTTCTGCATGCAGTTTTTGAAAGTCACTATTTCAACAATTCTCGTTGAGTTATTTGTCCTATATTACAACCGATATCTGCAAAATTGAGGTTTTAATTCACGTAATAGAAAGGAAAGTTTTGTTAAAGTCTCTTCAAACTGATTGCATTTTAAACTTTTGTTGATTCAAGTACTTCGCAAATTTGTGTCTGTTTTTTTATCGTAGTGTATTACAATCGATATCTGCAAAATTGAGGTTTTAATTCACGTAATAGAAAGGAAAGTTTTGTTAAAGTCTCTTCAAACTGATTGCATTTTAAACTTTTGTTGATTCAAGTACTTCACAAATTTGTGTCTGTTTTTTTATCGTAGTGTCTTGAGGAAATATTGAAATATATTTTTGATACTAAATAAATATTATCTGAAAGCATTATTTATTTAAATGTTCATCTAAAATTTTACTATTAAAGCAAAAGTTTTAACCTGAAATTTCAGAATTAGTAAAAAAAAAAAAAAAAAGTAATATAAGTTTTGGTACTAAAATGCATTGTAAGTTTTATAGTTGTTTTAATGTATTGCTTGAAAATATAATGCAAATTTACATTACACTTTCTTAAAAAATATGTATATTTACATTAAGCATGAGTATATTTTAATAAATTACAGTGGAGCCTTGAATCACAAATGCCTTACATCATGAACAAATTGTTCAGTGAACAAATTATCTAGGATAAAACCATTTAATATGATAAACTGTGTCTCGAGTTATGAACATTCAAATCAGGAACAAATGATTTTCGTTGGTGTTTTGCAATAAACTCTGATACAGAATTGACTATTCAAGACTTCTAAAACATTATTTTTATATTTTCTGCTGCTTAATTCATAATAATAAATGCAGAAAGTGATTCATATCAGTGGTCTGAAACTCAAACTTTATTTGGACTGAATGCACAATCTAGAATTGACTATCCAAGACTTCTAGAAACAGTATTTTAATATTTTCTGCTGCTTAATTCGCAATAATAAATGCAGAAAGGAAGTGATTTCTATCAGTGGTTTCAAACTTAAAATTTAGATGGACTGAATGCATGATCTGAGAACAGCTGATGAGCCAGACTTTGTTTTTGCAAAATGAAAATTGTTTTAAATTTCACTTAATAAATATTTATCAAAACATATATAAATAATATAATAATATCATAAAGGCAAAAGATTGAAATTTATTTTTATTTTCTTTCTGATACCTAATGTTGGTACCTATGAGACATTTTGTTGGTTACACATGTTAATTAAAATATACTGACAACTAAATATTAAATTCTTAGATGCGACATTTCTTTTAAATAGTTCTAACATGTTTAATTAATCATTAAATAACTTTCTTTAATTTAAACTAAAAATAAACAAATTCTGAAAACCTAGTCTCTTTCTTTTAGTTATTAAAAGGTTCTTCGACATATAAATAAAAATACAGAGTTTCTATGTAAATAAATGTAAACATCCTACTACACTTTGACACTTGATGGCATTTGATTCTGATAAAGTTTGTAACCTTGGAGATAAATTACTTGAAATTATCTTCATTATAGATTGCAGATGCTCATCTGTTCTTTTCTTATTAATTTTCAACAGTGAAAAAAAGCTGTTCACATGGAAATGTATTCCCAAACAAAGTGATTATTGTAACTAAATTTGTTTTTGACAAGTATGAATAAAAGTTAATAAAATCTGTATCTTCAAATCTTTGAATAAGATTTATACCGCACTCTGTAAATTAATTAGCTCCATTTTTATTCATGTTTATTTTTAATGGTTAAGAAAAAAATACGAACTTGGACTTCAAATAGCTACTTCGTGAACAGCATAACAATGCTTCGAATACCACCAGTTTGGGATTACTGACTTTTAGCACTATGAACACTCCCTGTAGAAAATTATGCCCAATTTTTGTTGCAGGCTGAAATTTTTGACGACTTGACAGGGAGGATTTTTTTTCCCCCGTTACCTATGATATTATGGCTCTAGAGAAAAAGGTACTTACGTATTATCGCAACCAGGTTGGCGCGATTTGTAAGTTTGAGTAAAACAGTATGAATAGAAAGAAAATGTACATTTATTAATTACAGATAATTTTTAATACAGTTTTTTATTTTATTTTGTTTTAAAATATAAAATAGAATTAAACCCTTCCGGTTTTGAATTTGAATAAGTTGCAGAATTATTTTTTTGGTGGAAATCTTTTGGCTATTGCTTTTAGCACTGATTGAAAACCGTATTCGCCATAAACATGTACACGTCGACTTATTTTAACTTAAAAAAACATCCCAGAATTGCACAAAAATGGCTTTGCGCACACTCTTGACTTTATCCATCTACACTGCTATTTTCTCATAAATTACAAAAATTTGCCCGAAAATGCAGGAAAATTTTGTGAATCTCCACGTGCTTTTTTTACAAAACTACATATAACACGTAGGGTTGCCGTAAGTAAGTTTGCCAAATTTGGCAATTTATGCGAATTTTGGCCTGGTTGCATTAATATGTAAGTACTGAAAAAATGATGAGCTCAGAAGTTAACAATAATGACATGGAAGACTAACTAGAGTACCATAAAAATGAGCTCAACCAGAAAAAAACTGAAACAGTTTGGAAGCAGTAATAAAAGTCAGTTGTGGAGGAAGTGTTTTCAGAGAAAGGGGGAAGGACGAAAAAACAAACCCAGTTCTTTGATATATGAAATATGCACAAAATAGAATGAGGACAATAAAGTTTCATGTAATGATATCACCCCAGTAATGTGCCATATTTCATTCAGTATTCACCCCCCCCTCATGTATTTCTCCTGTTTCCTTTTCTTAGCACCAGTCTCTGAAAACTTTAACAGTATTTGTGTTATTTCCCCATTTTCCTCAGTGTTCAGAAAACAAATCCCCTAAATCTTAAAATGGATACATAGTAAACTATTGGAGGTCTTGCCTAACCTTTGTCTTCTAACTATTGAACTTTATGCTAACTTAATTCAAGAACTGGCCGAGCATAGCAAAGCAAGCAGGAGTTTGTATTTAATCTACTGTTTCTCCGAGTACCTGTGCATTTTTCTTTCTCTAATTTTCTATGCATGATTTCAGGCCTAAGGAGTAGCAGAGACTGCTGTAAAAACTGGCAAAATTTAAGTTACAAAGCAGAAATGAAGCTATCTTATTAGATATTGCAGTGTTACTATTTTTGTCTAGTCTTATCAGAATGTAAGTTTCTTTTGAAGAAGTAATGTTGCAATAGTTACATATAGTTTATCCACGACTCCTTTTTATTTGCTATGTTCTTACTGCATCCTTCAAAAATTAAATTATTCTTATTTACCCCTCTCGATTTTGAGATGTAAAATTAGTAAAAAAAGATAGGAGAAAATATGCAAGGAAATACAACAATAGCAAACTATAGCATAAGCATTTTTAGTGATAAAGCTATGTCTCACTTGAGAATTGTTTCATAACATAGACAATAACGAATCACACTGGGCAAATTTTGAGAGAAACGAAAGCCTATTGAGCCTCAGATAGAGTCGAATAGTGCTAAGGGGAAAAGAAAAATAAAAGATGATGCCCCAGAAAAACATTTATTTGATCTTTTTATGGAAGAGAACTTCTTGCCCAAACACTAATATCTCTTCTTTATCATTTTTGACTTATGAAGTGTGCTCACCTTCATATAAGTATGTTAAAATAAAATAAAATTTTCATTTACTTCATATGTGTAATATTCTATTTGTCTTTTTTTCCTTAGAATTTAGATGGTTAATTATTTCCATTTGTTTTCTCTTATGCAATTTTGCTTAACATACTGTTTTAAATTTTATATAAGTAATCATCTATGGTGTAGGAACAGATTAATCCATTTTGCATTCCTATGGGGAAAATAGTTTTGGTTTATAAACATTTCAGATGAAGAATGGCTTTTAGGAATGAATTAAATTTGTGAATTGAGGTTTCACTGTATAGTAATAAAATATTGTTGTTTATTAATAGAGTATAATGTGTGATACAAATTTTTAAACAATTTATATTTTATCACTTGTGTATGCTGTGTTTTTAAATTATCCATTCAATGCAATTATGAATTTAATTTTTTAAAGTAATTCGTACTTATTATCTTTTTCATGTAACTACATGAAAATTGAAACTTGTAAATCATTATTTCTTTTTCAGTGTACTATAACAGGAATATTATTTTATATTTATTTTTATCTTCATAAAATAATTATAATGTAGATGCAAATAAAATGTTTAGTGCACAAGTCCCTGATTTACCTGCTCCTTAACTCTTTAATGAATAAGTAATAACTGAATAGGAATATATATGGTTTATCTTTCATGCTACAATTTCTTATTTAGTTTCGTCTTTCATGTATTAGGTGCGAAATCCGGATGTCCACTAACCGGAATGATCCAAAATCCGGACCTGTGGCTTATCAGCAATTTTAAGAAATATTTTTTTAATGTTTTACACTTGTAACAGAAAAATTTGATATTTTTTATTAATAAAGCACGTGGAATGCCCCAATTTTAATTTCACTTCAGCGCTAATGCTGCAAACTATTATTTATTATTTTTTGCAACTTAAATAATGCAGAAATATCTAAAATATTTCTTCTTTTTTTAAATTTTAATATTACTAATTAAATACCAAAGAGCATGGTAACCTTTAACGTTGACATACACTTGACAATGATTAGATACTTCAGGTAACTCTGCTGCAAAGTCTTGAATATATTAATGAGAAGAAATTTCTTTCCGTATGCAAAAAGTAGATTTTGTAGATGATACATATACGCCGAAAGATTACATTTAATCCTGTTTAAATTGAGAACAAGTGATTTGCTATTCATTTAAACCTAGAACTGGTGCTAGAGCTTGTGCAGCTGTACCAAGCAGCAGAATTTAAGGAAGGCTTAATTTTTACAATTTAGAGAAGCACTGAGCAACAAAATTAATGAATGGGATAGAGTTTAGGGAAGGCACATAAATTTAGATGTTGCAAAATTTTTAGAATTTAGAGAAGCGCCTGGCAGCAGTATTTCCAGCCTGTAGGGATTTCTTGGGCCACAAAATATCCTGGATAAACCTTAAGTATATGTGGAAATTTATTTATTTGGAATCCAGATAAGCCTTAAACATGTGCGTGAAATAGCCGCAAATATAATAAGTAAATTAACTAATATTCCTCCCCCTTCATTGGCAGGCATTTAGCCAACTTAGGCTTGGCCACTACTAATTCTGGAAGTGGTAGCCACTTTATCGTGGAAGCACCTAGTAGTTGTGCCACCGTTACCTCCTATGAAGGGATGGACAGTTACAGTCATGCCTTCTCCGGGATTCATTCCAAAGCCCTTTGGCATCAAAATAGACTCCCCTATCCACTGTATCATCTGCGCGTCAAATTAACTTTGTCAGCGTGCAGTAGAAGCAAGACAAAATTTAAAGAGCAGCATTATTTGCCAGTCTCATGATAGATCACCAATAATGTATAGCGACACTAGTGAAGCTTTATGATGGTAGCTCCAATTTGAAGGATCTCAGATATCGCAAAGAAAAAGAAAAAAATTTTCAATTAATGGAATTTGTGAAGAAATGTGGACAAGTGGTAACAAATAAAGATGATATAACAGAAGTTTTCATTGTGATGGCGAAATACGTAGTATGGTTCAAAGTTCTGAAAGTTTTGCTACTGGCAGTGAAGAAAGTGACAGACAGGTTGTTGAGAAAAAAAAAAAAATATATAGTAAGAATTCTTAACGCGGCAATTACAGAACTTGAATAATGGAACTTTATAAGTGAGCAAGAAATTATGTCTATCTGTAGAATTAAAGAGAAAATATTAGCACAAAAATCGATGCAAATTAAACAATTTAATTGAAAGAAATGTTTAATAAAACAAATAAATAAATGTTGAACTTTTTTTTTCATAAAATTTAATTCCATTAAGATCATAGATACATCATAATTTCATAAATCACATTTTATATTTTTAAATTTCTACATGCCATTTTGTGAGATTTAAACTGATGATTTATTATCCAGAAACACAGAAATCCGAACAAGTCTGGATCTCAAACTTTGTACCGTAGTTAAAAACTTTCCATTTCATCTCTTGTTTGTGTTAGTTCAATATTTTATGTGTAGCTTATTTTATGTGTTACACACACACACACACACACACACATATATATAGTAGAGGTAGAGAGTTTTTAATAGATTTTTTAATTGCTGTAAATTTATTGTGGCATAAAATATACAATTTTTCTTATTTTTTATTTTTAGAGTATTAAATTGGGTACAAGAATTACAGTAATTTATGGCAATCAGGATGAAGCGAACAGATGGATATATATAAAGCTTAACAATAATTTTTGATGCATAATCAATTCCATTGTGATGGATCCAGATCCCGAGGCCAGTCATTCAGAAGATGCTACTTCAATCACAGATGTTCCTGACATTTGTTCAGTGGAAGAGTATAATGACATTGAGGTAAGATTTAATTTTTCCAGTAGGACATAAGTGTAATTTTGGTTAGTTTTGATTTTGCAATAGGACATTAGTATAATTTTGGTTAGGTTATATGAAATGATAAAGCACATGAAGGCTATCTACCTAAGGAAAGGAAACTTTCATGGAGGATTTTTTAAGGGAAACTGGCTTGTGTTTGGGTTACACATGTAGGAAACCTTAAGAAACACTTACGCAGCAGCCTGATTGCCTGCTTTCGAACTACAAGTATTCAGCAATCTTGGCTAAATCTTGGCCACTTGGCTACTAATTGCTGAGCAAAATTTAAGGATGAGATGATTTTTTGAATGCATTCCACATTGACTGAAATCGTATACTGTTAGATCCCAAGATGGGAAGCTATGGAACAAATGACTAAAACCTTCCAAATAAGAAATAAAAAGGAATAAAAGAATATCTCCAAGTATAGCTAGAGAGAGAGAAGACAGAAACATCCATATGGCAGATGCCTTATAAGAAAAATCTATTCTTTAGAAGGGAATATGATCACCCCTGACTGCGAAATTGCAACATCTCTCCATACTGAAGATAAAAGTTGTCAAAAAAACTGTTAAAGTATCATGGCCCATTCTTCTTGTAGTGACAATTTTAGTTGAAGAATCATTGCTGGCGGTTGGCATGTGCTGCTAAGAAGGTCCCACACACATTCAATAGATTTAGGTTCAAGGACCTTGCAGGTTAATCCATGCATTGAATATCTTCACTCTCCAAGAGTTCTGTCATAACTCAAGGTGTTGCATTGCCATTCATAAAGAGGAAGTCTGGATCCACGGCACTTCTAAACAGACACACATGTGGTAAGAGTTCTTCAGTACAACAATGGACACAAATAACTGAAAACTGGTTTACAAATGTGGAGAATGTGCTACCAAGAATGATACCACACCAAGCAAGAACACCATTACCTCTAAATCAGTCCCTTTCAGTGATGTTGCAGGTTTTTCTCTCTCCAGTTGTGTATATGTCTAGAATCGTTCATCAGACTAAATTGGATCTCATCCATTAAGAGCATGATCCTACTCCTCTGTGCTCCTGGCATCACAGAAGCCACAGTCTCTGATAAGCAGACTTAAAATGCATGCACTGTACTGCTTGTTATATGCAGTGCAGCCTCCTGACCATGCAATATTGACTGTTCAGTAGTCTGTTGCATGTGTCATGAAGTATCTCCTACTGTCTGCTGCCTTCTCTTTTTACCAGTAGTACAATATACTAGCTATCTGCTGCTGTTGTAGCTTGAGGACGACCACTGCTGAACATTTGTTTTTGTCATTTGAAATGCTGTCTAGGCTTGTGAAATAATACTGAGAGTGATTCCAAACTCCTCCATTACACTTGGTCACACTTTTATCTTAGTCACACTTTATTTTCACACTTCTACCAGCTTCCCAATGATGTGACCTTGGGTAAAGCATCCTCTTGATATCTCCTGTATTCCCTGTTGGCCATATCACACAGATCATTGAAATTATTACATACCGTGATATAGCTTTCACCAAATTGCTGAAGTTACACTGCCCATGTGAGATACTTCTTCCGACACTCCTCCGTATAAATCGTGCCTTATTATACGTATGTCCTATTGTACCGGTCCCAAGTCTATTTCCTGATTGGTCTTTTGGTTTGTTCTTTTGCTTTGTTCTATTTTTATTCTTTTAATTTAATGCATTTATGTTAAAAAATGTAATAATTAAAACCCCGAATGCCTTGTCCTTAGTTTCTGCTCACCAGTGTGATTTAAGAATTACAGTTTTAAAAGTATAAATTGAATGTCAGTCATACAATCATATCATTAGCAATTAATTATTTTTAGGTTATATGCTTTATCAATGTCTTGCCATATTATTTTCCAGGTCTTCAAAAATATAATGTTCTTTTAAATTATATCTGTTGTACAGAGGGTGTACACACAGTTTTGTAATGATTTTGATTTTCTCCATGAATTTAAATACTGATTTTAAAATACAAACGTGACTGGCATCAAATTGGAGTGAGGTCTGCAGCATTAAAAATATTCTTTTCTTCGAACTGTTGCTGAAAAATAAACAATGAATCGAAGGCTATATTTTTGTGCTGTCCGAAGAGAAACGCTCTACTTATTAAACGCTCTTCACTTATTAAAAAAATGATGTGAAAAGCATGGTTTTAATACTTTTACATGTAAAATAAGTGACATAATTAATATGAAAGGAAAGAAACAGAGTTTACATCAGAGTCTGATTAAAAGCTAAAAAAAAAAAAAAAAAAGGATTTTTATCACCTAACGCCGAGCCGAAACATGTTTCTCAGCGTAAGACTATGTGCAGATTGCTGTATGAAAACTATTTGGTAGGTGAAAAATGGAAATAAATAGTTACAATTGATGAGGCTTGAATATACTTATCTTATTGCAATAGAAAAAATATTGATTTATTACTGGAAAAGAGGAGAAAAGGCTGAAGGAAAGTTTTTCTAAGGTTTTATGGTTATTACTGGATTTCCTTATAGTGGAAAAATTAAAATAAGGAAAGTAGGAAAAAAATGTCAAAATTAATTCGAATTACTATCAGAAATATGATTTAACACCTATTTTTAAAGAAGTTCCATCTCTTTATCCAAACAATCTTCACTGTGTTAGGATAAGGCTCCAATGCATACCTCTAAATCTACTGCGCTATTAAAAAAAAAAAAAAAAAAGAGAGAGAGAAATGAAACCGGAATTAACTATTCCCTTTAAATGCATCTCACTTAAGTCCCCTGATGAGTCTGCTGTGGATTACTGTGCATTTGGGCTCTTAAAACCAGCTCTTTATAAGCAGCATCCCAAAACATTGGATAGACTCTGGAAGATTGTAAAGGAAATGTAAGGTTTATCTTAAGTTTATAACAGTTAATTTTAGTTATAGCTACTTTCCTGTCCTTCCTAGCCCAAGTGGAAGCTTTCTAGTACACTCTAAAGAATGGAGCCAACTGTTAAAGTCTTATTTTAAATAATAAAGGGGTGTTGAATACTAAATCTTTCTTGAGTTTACGTCTCTGTTCCTGAACTAAAGCAATTATTCGCTTAACTGTTCACGCAGTTCCTACACATTTAGCTCTTAGATAAAAAGGGGGAAACCCCACGGAGGAGTGGGATAAAATCAACCTTGATGTTTTAAGAAAAGAACTTTTATCTTGGATGTCAAGATGTAATATGATAGTTGAACAAAAGGACTATCAGATTGAATATATTAGAAAAAAATTTCTAAGGTGTGTTTTTATATAAACCTTTGCAAAATCATTACAAAAATGTGTGAACACCCTCTGCATAACTAAAAAAAATCAAGGAGCTATAATATAAATTAAAACAGAGAAAAATGAAACTGGAATTTAAATTAAAATAAGTTACTGGTAAATTGGCATATTTGAAATAAAGAAGTACCATCATGTTCCTTTTGAAAATAAAAAAAAAAAAGGGGCAAACCAAATCTAATAAAAAAAGAAATCCGATGGCAAAATAATAATAAAAATCTTTTTAAATGATTATACATTAGGAGCATTTATGTCAGAAAAGATAATTTAATACTGTATTTGAAGTTGAATGAATGAGATCTATTATTATATTCATTTCAAGAGATTGGAAAATGAAATCCATTTAAATTTCCTATCGTTGCTTAGTATATTTTGTTTTAAGAATTACATTCTGAATCTAGCATTTTCAGAAATCTAATTGCTCAAGACAAAATTTTTAAAATTAGTTTCATTCATTGATACTTATTATCCATTATGCCTCTTAATGTCCGGAACTTCCTGGTAGCTGTTAAACGCACAGTCACCATTCTGAAAGAAAAGCTTCATAAGCAGAGTGTGATGTGTCTTTGTCGGTTTCATGATGAAGCATTCAGGCAAAGCATTATGTGCATTTTTATCACAGCTATGTCTGCTGTGCGTATGTTACGTCTTAACAATGTGCATACATCCAAAACAGCAATGTGAACCATGACAGCACCATCTACCAGCACATTTTGGTACTATTTTTTCTCCTTTTGCCAAACAAAATTCCATTGCCTCATGATTGTTCTGGTAAAATATCAAGTCATTCTGACCGGTAGTTTTAGAGTTAAACGGTTTTGAAATCACAACTTTAATTATAATCACCCTGTAGAGGGCAAAAAATAATTTTGGCTGTGCCAGTGGAAGATGCGACCGCAGCATTACAAGAACAGATAAACAGTGATGCAGGAATCAGCAGTCCACGGGGAATTGACTGCATTACAATTTCTTGCCTCTATGGAAGTGAACAGTGGATACATTCTATGGCCTGGCGAAGCCCATTTCCATTTTCAAGGTTCTGTAAACAGGGTTGCCACGCTACCTGGAAAAAACGGAAAAAGTTAGGGAATTCGGAAATTGACTAAAAAAGTCAGGGGAAAATCAGGGAATTTAAATATTTTACTCAAAATCTGGGAAAGTCGGGGAATTTCATATGGCATTCCTGTCAAAAAGCGATTTTTTACACTAATGTTGGAAGTGATCACTTTTCTTCACGAATTATATATCGAATGAGCATCATTTAGGCAGCTGATGTAGAGCCAGTTTTCGCAGTTGCAATCAGATTGTCTTTTAGAAAGGAAAACAATTCTGGTTTCCAGTAACATCGATAATCGAGAGATTCGCATCGGTATGTGTAGTGCATGTTGAACAAAAGAGAAAGCCTTTCCATTCTCGTATAAAACAAAGTCGGTTAAATTCCATTATACAGTATGCACAGGATTTGCAACATTATTATGAGCAGTAAAGTGAACATTTATGATGAGTGGTAAACAGGTCACTTTGGTGTTGGCGACAATTTTCAAAATCATGTCATGAATGTACCGTGTACTAGAATTTTCTCACAAAATCTTTTAACCCCTTTTTTATCTTTTTAACAAATGTCTTATTTGTCATTTTGTAGTAAAATAATAATAATAAATAAATAAATAAAAAGTAGTAACCAGTCATCT